GTTCCTAACTCGCCAATCATAATGCGTCGTGTACCTAACACCAAAGGGGTTACCCCCCTCATTATATAACAAACCATTTGAGTAACACCTCTAGTCTTATATGCTCTAAGATTATGCATTACAATAGAATAACATGAAATAAACTTTCAGAATTTACTTATAATAATCTACCATGAGTTAATAGTTATTTATGGTACTAGTGTGTTATATTGAAAATAGGTCAGGCGAGAAAGATTTATACCACGAGGCCAAGTGGTATATATTCTCAAGGGACTTAGGAAACATAATACACGAGTGGCATACAATGTTTTATCTAACAAACAAGTAGAAAAAAATTGTTTTTTTATGAGATAATTAATAAGTTTTATGATCAAATCAAAGATACTTGCGTCTCAGTATCCTAGAAATGTCAGAATGACTTGACAGTGACTTTTTTACATTTTAGTCAAAGTAAGGAATTTGTTTGGTTGCCACGGGCATGATACATTGTTATAAATAAATTTTGACATTTGTCAGTTTCAACAACGTATAGAAAATGGAGGAAACCGATGAAAATTAAGTTCCTCAGGATAACCTTATGGAAGCAGCGATGCAGATTTTGCCAGAAAAGTCCCGATATGTTTACGACAAGGAGTTCAAAATGTTTGAGTCTTGGATGAATTTACAGAAAATAAAAAGTATCGATAAAAATGTTCTATTGGCTTATTTTTTACATTTGCAAAAAAATCTCATGTGTCCAACACATGACTTTCCTATCTAGTTATTATAGGATTTTTCTGGTTATTTTGTACTATCTATTGCAGCACCTCTATAAATGTTTAGAGGATAAACTAAATATATACATTTTCCACATACATCTACCTCGAAACATTTTTATATAGATATCTGATCGTCAATTTGGTTTCAGGGAGGGTCGATCAACTGAGGATGCCATTTATAAACTAACATCAACAATTTATAACTCTTTGGATAAAAAGTACCCATTTTATGTATATTTCTAGATCTCTCCAAAGCCTTCGACACTGTGTGTCATGTGAAATTATTAGAAAAATTGCAAAAGTATGGAGTTAGGGGTAAATCATATAACATTTTTGAAAGTTATTTATCAAATAGGCAGCAGCTTGTTCAAATTTGAGATACTAGAAGTGATTCACAAACAGTAACTGTTGGAGTTCCTCAGGGAACCGTGTTAGGCCCGATCCTTTTTTCTGTATACATAAATAGCCTTCTCAATTTGGAATCACTTAGCCAAATTTTTAGCTTGGCGGATGATACGGCTGTCATATACACTTCGTCTTCTTGGGATAACCTAAAACAAAAAGTTGAAAGTGACTTTCCAAGAATAGCAAATTGGCTTCAATATAATAAACTTACAATAAACTATACAAAAACAAACTACTTACCGTTTAGCTCCTATACTAGTGGTCTTCCTTCCATGGGATCTTTAAAAGTAGGCCTAGGTATAGAAATCCCTGAATCCTCTTCAGTTAAATATCTTGGAATTCTTATAGATAGGCATATGAGGTGGGATTTACATACCAAGCAACTTATTAAAAAAATAAGAGGATTATTGCCCAAATTCAGGTATTTAAAAGATTTTTTAAATGTTCATGCTCTAAAAACAATGTATTTCTCTTTGGTACAGTCGTTATTAGTCTATGGTATTATAGGTTGGGGAGGAATACACGATAACTTTCTGAATGATGTTCATGTGGTGCAAAAAGGGATTTTGCGTATTATCTATAACAAAGATATTCAATATTCTAGTAACTCCTTGTACAACGAATTAAAAGTTTTTGATCTAAGACAATTATATTTTTTTAAAATTCTTCAATTTATAAAAACAAAAAAAATTGTTTTGACATCACATGAACATCAGTATAATACACGACGAGTAGAATCTGTTCATTTTCCTCGTAGTGAAAAATCTATAGGACAACGTACATGCAATTATCTTGCACCAAGAATGTATATTTTAGTCCCAGTAGAGATACGAAATATACCGTCTTATAATGTATTCAAAAAACATCTAAGAAACTGGATTCTTCAAGAAGACCGAGAAGAATTTACTAATGTTATAAATAATTACCTATCGTAAACTATTATATTCATTATCCATACTTTTAATAACTGCACTGATTTTCCGATTAATTTCTTTAATTTCCTAAAATTTGTAATTTACTCACCCAATAATAGGACTTGTTCTTCTGATTACGACCTATTTCTCGATTATGTCCTCTATCTCGATTATGTCCTCTATCTCGATTATATCCTCTATCTCGATTACGACCTTTCTCTTGAGTGTAACTAATTCCCGATTTTGACCCTTTTCCAAGTATTACATTATATAAATAATTTAATTTAATTTTTAACATTTTGTCTAAGATACAAAGAAACTGATCCATTGGGCTTATTCATTATTTATTAGGTCATATTATTATAGAATTAATTTTTGATTAAATTTTTTAGTAATACCTACCACGTACAAGCTGTCCATAACAGCTTCTGTGTAGTTCATGTTTATTTTGCTTATCTTTAAATGATATTTTTTATACATTATATTTGTTTTATGTGAATAAACAACATTATTTATTCATTGAAAACGAAAATACTGAAAAATTTAAATTTAACATTTTTCCTACAATTTTTCCAGTACGGTTCATTTTAGGAAAATCATGTATAAACAAAAATAATAGAGATCGATATCGCAAACAATTTTCATAAAAATCAGAATTTTGCACATTTTGTCAAATTTCTCGAATACGGACCATTTCAGGAAATTTTGACAGAATGCAAGAATTATAGATAATAATATTAGAAGTAACTTTTATTTGAACAATTTTCTTCTCCAAACATAAATAACAGATATATTCCATAAAATATAAAAACGGCCTCCCATAAAGTACCCCCCAGATGTTCCGACTTTGTCCAAAATCTAATCATTTTACGTCAGGCCGAAATAAAAATTTAATGTTTTTTTCTTTATCCGTTTTTGAGTTTTCTCAAATATCTCAAATACGGTCCATTTAAAAGAAATTATGTATGGGATAAAAATTATAGAAATTTATATTACAAACAACTTTTATTTAAAGAATTTTTATAAAAAAAATATTTTTTTTACATTTTGTCAAATTTCGCGAATACGGACCATTTTAGGAAATTTTTGTATAAAACAAACATTAGAGATAATAATATAAGAAGTAACTTTTATTTGAAGAATTTTCTTCTCTAAACGTAAATAATAGATATATTCCATAAAATATAAAAATGACCACCCATCAACCCGAAAATAGTCAAAACGGATTAAGGGGACCCCAAAACGTAAATATCTATCAAAAAATGGAGGTCGATAAAAATCATGATTCCTATACTTTCCTTATCTGTATACAGATAGGAAAGTAAAAACATTAAAAATAATATCGCAACTAATAATGAAAATTCCGCTGCCTTAACTAAACATGCATTAGAAAATTTGCACTATTTCGATTTTGAAAATCTAAGAATTCTCTAAAATGAACAAAATCTCAACAAAAGAATAATCCTTGAGGTGATTCATATTAAAAAAAATAACAACTCTATAAATAATAAAACGGACATAAAAGATTTGTCAAACGCTTATTTTAATATTATTAAATAATTGTAAGCTTTCTTATCCTTAACTGTAACGCCACTGGTAATTTTTAACTTTGTAAAAACTCATCTTTTTGTTTCCCTACTTTATCGTTTTAAACAAAATTATTTCGAATACACCCTCACACGATGACACAGAAAGATGTTATTTTAAAAATATTTTAAATTTTTTTTTAATTTGTTTGCAATCGTCCCCTTGTTTTATTAATTTATGACTGCACCCGAAAATGGAACAGTTTTCCGAAATTATTCTTATTCAAATTAATTTTGTAAGGTGTTGTGGTTTATAACTTAAATGTAGTTTTCTTAAATAACATTCTTGATAAAATGAAATTAGTTTAAGATATTTTCTGTGCTAATTCTGGACCAATTTTGATCCATCTGCAATATACTACCTTAAAGTTTTATTTTCTATGACTTGCAATATGTTTACAGCGTTTTTGATCAGATGTTCATTTTATGCATAAAGGATTTTAATATAGTTATGTACATTTAAAACTAATTTTTCCTAGTAACAAATGCATTTCAAAACTTTCTAAAGTCCTTAACTATTCCGACGATTAGACAACATTGCAAGGCCGTTACATCATAAATGATATCTGATGTGCATTGGGATTTGTATTAAAAATAATATGTGATACTTAGCCGAAGAAACCTTGTTGAGTTCGCGCATGACGTATTGTAGTGTGGATATGCTTATCTGATTGGCCATGAGCCGATTAAAATTTATTTTCGCGCGCTGTTTTAGATTAGCTAATGCGCCAAATTCGTAAAAGCCACGTCTTCCACCACGTTTCGTCACTGTGACGTATATTATCAATCTGAGTGGTAAAATACATTCTTTTTATAGTATTATAATTTTCGTTCTCCTTTCAGTTTTTAACCTATCAAAAATAATATATCAAATAAATTAAAAATAGCTGATATATAGTTAACTTGCACGTAAAATGAAAGTGTTTCTCTCGCTAGAAACTAATTTTTACACATTTTTTGCGCAAAAAATCCGTTATAGCCAAATTATTCTACTTTTTTTAACTTCTAGTGGTTCTGGACAAGGGTTTTAAACGCAGCAATAAATTTACGAGTTATTACGATTAACGTAATATAAGAAAAAACGAAAGAAAACTAATTTGACAAAATTATACAAGAGAAGATAATAAACAAGATTAAGTTTCACCAGTCTTGCACATAACGGTAAGAAAGCTTTAGATTAAAAATAAGATTTTACAAAGTCTAATGTTCGTTCTGATGATTAAATAAATTAAATGCCTTAAGTACTTATTATATCTTCAAGTGGGAACGGGTTTACTTTAAATAGTGTTCCAAAACTGAAATTATTTGACAAGTTACTTTGTTTCAGTTCATTTAAGATGTGGTGTTTCAATTTGATCATCGTTATAACTACGATAGTATATACAACATCGTCTCCCCTGTACGATGAGACAAATCTAGGAGCTGGTTGCACAATTACTTCTTACTCAGAAGTTAATACCGTAGTAAATAGTTGTACAAACATAATTATTAATGGACTTGCTGTACCTCCAGGGAAAACTTTGGAACTCGACTTAAAATCTGGAACTAATCTAACTTTTCAAGGTACTACATCTTTTGGTTCTAGTACGAAATGGGAAGGACCACTAATAACAATTACAGGAAATAATATTCATGTGAATGGTGCTACTGGTTCAAAATTAGATGGGCAAGGAACCAATTACTGGGACGGCAAAGGTGACGTAAACCCAGGAAAGCCAAAATTCTTCAGAATCAAAGCTACTGGGGGATCAACTTTCTCCAATATTCACTTGTTGAACTGCCCTAAACAATGCGTATCCATCCAAAACTCAAACCAGATCATTTTATCAAAATGGACTGTAGATGTTTCCGCTGGTGATAAAAATAATTTGGGACACAATACCGATGGATTTGACATTTCTGATTCAGAAGCAGTTACAATTAAAGACTCTGTTATCATGAACCAAGATGATTGTGTTGCTGTTAATTCTGGAAAACACTTACACTTTTCAAACTTGCTATGTTCCGGTGGACACGGGTTAAGCTTGTCCGTTGGAATGAGTAAAACAGATTCGTCTAAAAACCAGTTATCCGATGTAACCTTTACTGATTGTAATGTTACCAACTCACGTAATGGTATCCATGTTAAAACGCATTCCGATGCTACTCAAGGATCTGTTAATAATATTACTTATAAAAATATACACTTAAATGGAATCACCAACTATGGAATAAATGTACAACAAGATTATGCAGGAGGTTCGTCAAATGGAACTCCAACTAATAATATTCCAATTAAAGGACTAACTATGAATAATATAATTGGAACTATGACCGGACCTAATTCAGAAGCAGTTTTTGTACTTTGTGGAACTAGTGGATGTTCCGGGTTCGATTGGTCTGGAGTATCGATTACTGGTGCCAACAAGGCAAGCAACTGTACAAATTTTAAACCACCTGGAATTAATTGTTAAATAATATTATAAATATATTTTTAATATAGTACATTATATACCTAGGGTGAGAAGTGAGCTATTATTTACCGAGCACTTTTATATCCTGAGGCGCGAAGCGCCGAGGGATATAATGTGCGAGGTAAATAATAGCTTTCTCAGCCGAGGTATATATAGAATTTTTTTACTACTAACATTAATATATTAGCAATTTTAATTTTGACATAAGTAATTTCCTAACAATTTGTTAAATATTTCGAAATATCAAGCAGAGTGGAGCGTGTTTCTAATCACACTGGCTTTATTTATGTAAAAATTTGGCATGTGTCAAATTTTGATATTATTCTAGGAAATATCCCATTGCATTTTTGATATTTTAGTAACATGGATTTATTGGTATTAATTAATAATTTTTGAAGCCTCTTACCGTTGTTGAAATTCCTAGTTAATATATATTTTTACTATTAACACTGATATATATTATCATATTTGATTTGATTAGATTTTAATAAATCCAGCTTTAGTTATTTCCTACTTATTTTTCAAATATTTCAAAATATCAAGTAGTCTGGGTGTTTAGTTGTCAAATTAACAAAATGAAACTAATGAAATTTAGTTTCATTATTTACCTAGGTATTTTTTTATTATCATTATTTACCTAGGGAGAGAAATATTACTTCTCATTAGAGGAATGGAGTAAATAATGGTGATTTCTCATGTTAGTAGTGAAAAAAATTATTTATTTTACAAAGCTGTTTTTTTTTTTTTAAATGGATGTCGTGTAGGTTTGATAGGATTATTGGTTGTCCGTTGGGAATAAGATTGAGTAAATAAGAAAGGGCTTATTAGTGTTTTAGTACTATAGTTTGAATTATAAAGATTATTGTAAACACAGAGTATTGTTTACTAAATAAATTAAATACATTTTAAAATTTTATTTATGGTCGTCCTCTAAAACCGTGAAAGTAAAGTTTGAGGTGGTGATTATACTTCGTTTTTATTCTTCAGTATATTCTTATATTACTCTTTAATTTGCATTATCAATTAATAAAACTTAACTTATTATACAGGGTGTTTCATAATATATGCGCAGGACTTCAGGACGTGATAGCTCATCCAAAAAGTATAAAAAAACTATTTCATTAATTTACCCTCTAAAATGCACCATTTTCGAGATACAGGGTGTTGAATTTGAAAAAAAAAATTCTACGCCACTGGCAAAAGTACGGTTTTAAGACGCCCATTTGAATGTTTTCTACACAAAAAAAGTACTTTTGGTTATACGCTCTATGTGTTGGCGGCCTGTGATCTTTTCAGAAAGACAGACTACCATTTAGGTGAGGTGGCCGACACTAACGTACTAGTGCGCCTCTAAAGGCCACCCAGGACTTCGCTGGGGCCTCCATTAATTACTCGTGGGACGAAACATAAATAAAAACTCACTCTTCCTCTATGCGTATTTATTCACGCTTAAAACGATGGTGCCATGCAGGCAAAACAAATGGATTACATATTATAATGGCAAACTGCCGAAGAACTATATACTTAAACTTACTTAAATTACAATTAAAACAAACATGGTTCTATGAGATAAAACAATTTTTTACATCTTGTCGATGGAGAGTCTGCAGACTAACTGGTTGTGTCCACAGAACACTTACTCTTAGAACGGTATCTCCCATGTTAAAAAAGGATGATAGAGTTTTTAGCGGCACCTGGTGGACGTGGTTGATTTTTTTTCAATTAAGTCCTTGTCTGGTAAGAGGCCATATGAAAGAAGAGAAAATAATAAAAAGAAGAAAAGCGCGGGTCTATTCAAATTTGACAGTAAAAAATATCCGCATTAAAAACTGTTAGCCAAATTAAGATTTGTTCACACAAATTGCATTTTTGCTTTATTATAGCGAATATCGCTATAATAAAGCAAAAATGCAGTTTATGTGAACAAATCTTAATTTGGCTAACAGTTTTTAGATAAAAAAAACAAGAATATTCAAAAAATAAATTTATTAAAGAATATATATAATACAAATCCAATATTTAAAAAATGTAATGTATATGAAAATTGTATTATGTATGAAGTAGCTGGATGGCTGCTACATATTCCAGGATACAACACTGTCCATCATTTTGTGAAGAACTTTAGCTGTGAAAAAAGAAAGACAGTATAAGTACAATCTCATTAAAATAAATGTATTAATAAAAAATTATAAGTCCGAGGAATACTTTATTTTTTAATAAGTCCAACATCTACGATACAGCTTTGCAACCCCAAACGTCATGAAACAGAAATTTCACAGTATATGCCGCGTTTGAGAATCCACATCGGATGCAACTGAGATGTAGTAAAACTTTGATCATGTGATTCAGTTTACGTAAATGTAATGGGACAGATGTGTCCGATTTAAAATAAACTATTTGAGGCGCTGCTCTCCACATCTCGGCAAATGGGCTAAAATAATAATTTATAATACTCTTAATATTACCTTATTTTAATTATTGTGCCACTATACTGTATTTGCTTAACCAGAATGAGTTGCAATAATTGCAAAAGTTGCAGAATAGAGGTCTGAGGATAATACTGAGCTGTTCTAGACTGGAACCAATCAGTTCCATGTTGAATGTGCTTCAGTGGTTGCCTGTTAAAAAATATTTGCTATTCTATTCCCTGCTTTTTATATTTAAAATTAAATCATGAATCTCCGGAGTATATTTACAAAATATTTTAAGTTATAATCAGGATGTTCATGAACCTAAACAGGTAATAAGAAAAATGTACACAAAATTCAGTGTTTTTTAAAGGTGTACAGGCTTTTAATAATTTGCCTGAGGATATTAAATGTTCTTCAAATGTGGCAATATTTAAAATAAAACTGCGTGAATACCTGTTCACCTATTGACGTTTTTTTTCCTCTTTCTTGTTCTTTTATTGTTTTGTATAGTTGACATGTAAGTGTACTGTATCTTATGTATTTTTAATTGCATTTTAAATGTATGTTGATTCTATATTTATGTATTTTTTATATTTTAAACGTGAAGATGTATTGACATGTAAAAAATAGTTTTTTTGACTAAATACACGTTTTATATATAGGTATGTGGATAAAAAAACGCTCGATATGTAAAAAATGCATCTGATGTGGATTCTCAAACACAGCAATAAGTATAAAATAAATAAGTAGAGTACTCACTTTCCTTCTCGAAAAGAAGTCCAACATATATTATTAGTCTGCTTCTTCTTCGAACCTTTACTTCAAGTAGGTGTTTGATCAACATATTCAATTTCTACGTTATTTGAGGAAAGTCCATCCGCTACTCTTCCAGGAACTGCTGGTAGAAATAGCGTTGGAAATGCTTCAGGTGTTAGACCTCGACGAGAGCCAAGTACTTTATACTTCTCTTCAAAATGTTTATGACATACTATACAAAGGTGGAATAAATTTGTAGTCTTGTTTTATTATTAAATCTTGGACAACGAACAGCAAGTGCACAAATATCAAATAAATCGGGTGAATTCGTAGGCTGAGGCAGGCGATGCATCTTGTTGTCCACAACAAGGCAATTCGGTACACATTTTCTATAATTACGCATCTTTATGAAAAACCACAAAATAACAGCGAAAAAAGCACAAACTTATAATGGAAAAACAAGCTTATTAACAGTGGTCAACTAAAATCAATTAAGCAAATTGGAAATGAAAACAACTGAATACAACAGTCACCAATATAAATAAACAAAGTTCACGTTTGGTTTAAGCCAAGACGCCATGACACCCCCACAAAAATCAATATTTACCTGTCATTTACACTCCCACCACCTACCCCACCACCCGACTGCAGCGCCACGCGGACGTGGTTGATTGATCCCAGGCCTGCGCATACCAGTTTCCCACCCCTGGTTGTGTCTCTTTACAAAAACTTAGAGCGCACTTCCGTGATATGGAAATGGTAAGCTTACGTCATGTATTTTATTTCTGATTGGTTACACATTTATTAATTTTTATTTCGTGAGGCGTGGCTTCGCTAGTGAGATTGTTAGAGGTGTGACTTTATTTTTATGTGTAAAGGTGGTGTTATGTATGAGATAATTGTTGTGTTGTCGCATGCTGCGTGAGTGTTCAAATGTAATTTGAACACTATGCCTTCTGCTTGGTCTTTCTAATTTTAGTACTTATACAAGAAATGCATCAGCTATGTAACAATCGAGTTCTCGCACAATTTAGATAAAAAAAACCCTTTTTTTATGATGAGCCATGGAGATTGTAAATAATCAACCATTGTATCACAATGTTTGAGACATTCATCACTAGATTTAGATGTAAATAGGAAATCATTAAGGTTATTTCCAAAAGCCTTAGTTGATGCACTACCGGTTTTAAAGTGTTTGCAAAAACATATGGATCAAATGGTCAAACCAAATGTAAGACACTCAAATTCGTAAGTTTTTTTTTTTCAAATACTTTTCTTATTTTTTATGTATTGAGATGAGATAAGAGGCATCCTTTTATTTAATTTTTGACAAAATTGTCCTGTAACAAAATATTCTGGGCAGACCTGAGATCTTCCAGTTTTAAATGCGGGAATCTATATATTTGTTAAAGATGAATCTAGATGAATCATTTCATTTGGATCTTAAAAAATATGAGAACCAAACTAATTTTCTTTAGCAAGCAAACCCTGTTGTATTCTTTAGTACTTTTTTTTTTGTTACATGAAGTGTGTAGGTTAGTTTTTCTCTAAGAGAAAGCATCCTTTGGTGAAAGCTCTTTTGTGTTTTAAAGATTAATTTAAAACCTTTAACATATCTTAGGACCTTCTTATCATTAGTTAAGTTAGCCCACATGTTTTACAAATTTATTTAGTCTACCAGCAATCTCTCTTACCTTTATTTCCTTCCTTAATAACTCATTTTCCCCTCTCTGTTTTTCTGAATACTTGTTGTTTCGTCCTTTGGGTTTTTTTCCCTGCTCTTTCTCTGGCCTGGTTTTCTTCAGTCACTATTTAAAAGTAGGCGCCTAAAAT